AGGACCCTCCTCCCGCTGTCGGTGTCTTGTTATTCTCCCCAAAAAAAAAACATTACCTCCTCCCCCTTGGCGCACACACTCACACACTGTCTAGCCTAAAAAGTAACTCGCTAGCTTCCAAAATGCCTAAATCAATCTGTTGTCCTCCCGTGTCCAAACTTTGAGGCCCGGCCAGAAGCTCTCTGTTTACAAGCCTAGTACCGATAAACTGTTTTGATTGGTAGCACATGGAGGCTGGGCTTAAAAGCCTGAATTTTGCCTGAAACTCTCAGACTGAAGAAGTCTCTTGGAGGAGAGACGAAACGTTTCATTAGAGAAGAACCCGTCCAGAGGACCTATACAATTTTTATCTTTTTAAAACACTTTGAAGTTTTCACAAAGCTGTAGTTGGTTTCTGATTGCAGTTTTTGGGAATTGGATAAAGGGCGATTCCACCTATTGTTAAAAAATTTAAAACACTTCAAATCTGAAGTTTCACAATTTAAATAAAGGTTTTGCAAATTACAAACTATGTTTTAGATATTCTGTTATAAGTGTAGAATAATTTATTTCATATTTGAAGTAAGTAAGTAAAATATGATATATATGGTATTTAGTAATAGAAAGAGAATTGTTGATGCTCCATTTAGAGTTGATGATTTTGAGATCTGTAGAGTCGGTGAGGTGAAGTTTTTGGTTTCATCATGGATGAAAAGCTAACATGGAATCTCACATAAATCATTTTAAGAACAAAAATAGCCAAATCCATATCAGCATTGTATAAAGTAACAAGTTATTTAATGATAAATCACTGTTTATATTATATAATGCAATAATTGTTCCACACTTGATCTACTATGTTGAAGTCTGGGGTAAAGTGTACAAAACAATCACAAATCCTATTTTTATTTTACAGAAAAGAGCAGTAAGATTTATCACCAGAAAACATTACTGTCATCCTTCGAATATATTATTTTGTAAATTAAAATTATTAAAATTTGATGAGTTGGTTGATTATAATGTCTTGCAGTTTATGTATAAGGCTAATAAAAATTTACCTTTAAACATCCAGTTATATTTTGTTAAGACAGTTTATATAATCTTAAGGGGCTTGAGATGTTTATAAAACCTAAAATTGTAACAAATTTGAAGGATCGATGCACTTCAGTTCAAGGAATAAGACTGTGGAATAATCTGGAAAGTGGTTATAAAAATGTGTTTGTATAAGTCAATGATAAAAATAAGTTTGGTAAAGGAATGTGAAATTGTATGATGTATATCAAAATTTGTTGTTTGAGAAGGAATTGAAGTTTTTATTTTGTTTTGTTTCCTGATTATAGCTTGATTTAGGAACAAGGCAGTTAAGATGTTTTTCTTCTTTCTGCCTCCTATCATTTTAAGTGTGATTTTTTTTGTTGTGTATACATTTTTTTATTTTTATTTTTAAATCGAACGAATAAATGCATTAAACAAAGTAACTACTTATTTTAATTTTTAAATTAGAGCAGATTAAAGA